CAGGCTAAAAGATGGAACTGCAATTGGATCTTCCTCCCCTAGGTTCATTGCTAGCACACTGCTTTAGAGTAAACTTCGAGAATGGTTCACTTAAGTTAAACATTGATTAATACAAATCTGCTTTTCTTCATGTCAAACTTACAAAAAGAGCTGACTGGACCTGAAGAAAGTCTGTTCATAGGAATCGCATATGTAACGGCTGGCTGATAAGCTTCTACAGCTGAGTACTAATTACACGCAAACGAAAGGCGAATATATCTCTCTTCCTAAACGCGTCCGACGTATCTGTGACACCCCTAATGCACTTTCATCCACTTCTTTTACTGTGCTAAAGACCCTATTACTTTCAGCCAAACTGTTTTGAACCACTAGATTTCTCCGACCATTTCTGAGTTATCTATCCTCTGGTACTACTAGGTAACATAAAGCTCTACAAGAGACACGTCGATGACACCTTCATCATCTCCAACAACGAAGAGGATTTAGAAGATATCTTGAAGTTCCTCAACAACTGTCACTCTGCGATTCAGTTCACACTAGAGAAAGAGTCTGACTCAAAGATATCTTTTCTTGACGTTCAACTAGCGAGATTCCAACAAGACGGAACATTAAAAAGATCCATCTACAGAAATCCAACGTGGAACGGACAGCTCACTAATTTCCACAGTTGGGTGCCTAAACGAAACTTAACCCGTTCACTAAGCCACAGAATACGTAGAATTTGCTGCCTGGACGCCATAGAAGATGAAATGAACACTCTTAAGAAAATCCTCCTTGAAAATGGCTATCCAGAAAGATTTATCACAAAATCAATGAAACCCAGACCAGAGAAGCCGCCCACACCCAGTGCTCCAAAAAGACTTCTCTATATGAACCTACAATTCAATGGAGACCAATCTACAGAAATACTGAGAAATCGGCTCTCCCGCTCATTGAAGAAAACCTTCTTTGCAGCTGAATTACGACTGACGTTCTCCACGAGACCAATGATTCGCATGAACGTGAAGGATAAGCTACCGCTGTTGGCCTCATTTATGTACATCTACCAGTTCACCTGCTCGTGTGGAGCCAGGTATATCGGCCGTGCTCACCATTCGTTATCCAAACGCATCAACGAACATTCACCTACATGGTTTTATAAGGGAGAAAACCGATGCCCCCGCAGCTCGATACTCGAACATTTGATCGATTCAGGACACCAAGTCAAGCCACAAATAAACTTCAAAGTTATCTACAGAATACAAGGCAACCTTACTAAAAGTGTACGGATCAAACTTCTCCACATCGCAGAAGCAATGGCAAATCATCTGCTAAATCCTGAACTCTGCATACAAAAGAAATTCGTTCATTCATTAAAACTACTATGGACGTAATCTTTCTTAATTTCAGTCTTACTAATTGTATTATTTTGTCTTTTGCATTTTATTATTTCACATCTTCATTTGTATTATTCTCTACTCCACCCTTTTGTAATCTCTGCCCTCATTAACAATGTTACTAACTTGACCCACGTCCAATTTCTAGTCAACTGAGTTACGTCATCCGATTAACTTACTTATTTTCAACTGTATTATTCTCTAACCCCACCCTTACTTGATTTTAAACACCACTCATTAACACTGTTTCCAACCTGACCTCATCTGAATTCTACTCACTTAATTAATTCTATTTTATTTTCCATCTTAACGTTTGTTTCCAAGCCAAAAATTACTTATATTACATAATTATCTAAACTTTATAAATCTAATGTACACACACACAAACAAAATTGTATAAATATGCGATTGTACAGCTAAGTGAATGAATTCGCCGAAAAGAGTCTCTTCGCTGAACGCCTTCTTTTCTTTTACAATTTTATTTTATTTTCTATCTAATTAACGTTTGTTTCCAAGCCACATAATACTTATATTACGTAATTATCTAAATTTTATAAATCTAATGTACACACACACAAACAAAATTGCATATAAATGCGATTGTAGAACTCAGTGAATGAATTCGCTGAGAAGAGTCCTTTCGCCTTCTTTTCTTTTAAATAACATAAAATCTCCCGTTGTGTCTATCGGAATCCTAATCGCAGCTCACTTATTAGATTATCAATCTCGTTACGTAACTCTACAACCATAATTCTCATAATAAACATTAATCCTTTTCTGACAATCCATCTTAACGAGAAAAAATTGTGTATAAACGTGATTGCACAGGTTAAGAAAATGAATTTGTTTAAAAGGGACTGTTTGTTGAACAGCTCATCTTGTTTTAATCAACACTCGGATGGGAATTATTGATCAACATATTGTCTGAACGTAACTGATAATAGTGGCCTGCTTAAATTGCTGTGTTAGCGAGTATTTCAACCATCAAAATGTACCTAATTAATTAAATTTCACATCAACAAACTGACAGAAAAAGTATCCAGTGACGACAGGACTTCAAGTAAACACAGAGAATATGGAGATGATGAAGATAACCAACGAACAGCTACAAAAACAAGCATGAGTCACCATCACTGGGAGAAATCTGAAGAAGGTCACTTCCTTCACTTATCTAGGAAGCATCGTTTCAACTACAGGCCAGTAGAACGGATGAAGATGTAAAAGTCAGAATCGGTAAGGCGAGATAAACCTTCACCAATCTGAAATCGGTTAAGAAATCTTCACTTAGTCAGTATAAAGAACAAGATTCAGATTTTCAACACAAATGTTAAGTCAGTCAGCTAATGCTTCTATATGGGTTAGAAACTTGCCGTGTCATGAAAGGCTTTTCCAACAGGTAACAGTTGCTTTCACCGGCTCCATTTTGATGATCAAATAGCAGGCCAGAAAGAATATCGACAAGAAACTCTTCCAAGAAGCCAATCAAGAGCCGATTGATCAAAAATATATAAGAGAAAAAGGATGTGGAGGAGACAGTCAAGTGATATCGCGCACCAGGCCACCATTCGATTGGAACACGAATAGGAAACGACGAATGGATTATTTAGCTTTCACTCACACTTTTATTGGATTCTTTCAATGAGAATGGAGGCAAAGCAACAATCCAATAGCACAAAAAAGGAATTGCATACAAACACTATTCAAGAGAGCCAGGAGTCATTGCAGCACTCCCACCTCAAGGAAAATTGAAGAAAAATATCTCATGGACGTCTTTCAAAAGAATGGATATCCACGGAATTTCATCAAAAGACATATACCCCCAAGCCAACAACCTATCAAACTAAGAGCCCCCAAGGAAAGCACAAAGAAAATCGCCTTACCATATATAAAGGATATCTCAGAAATCACTACAAGACTCTTCAAACCTTTAGGAATTGACGTCGTACACAAAGCAACAAAATCACTTCACTCAATTCTATGTCAACCAAAAGACTCCACAGCGAAGGAAGATAAAACCAACGTCATCTACAAAATAGATTGCATCAACTTCGAAAAACACTACATTGGCTGAAGTGGACGTGCCCTTCGTCTTCGTATCCACGAACATAAGCTAGCTGTCAAAAGACATGACATCCACTCCCTCATATCACTACATACAGACAACTACGGACATCAATTCGACTGGGACAACCAGCGTTTAAATATTAAACAGAGGAAACACCAAGAATGCTAGAGAATTTTTAGAAGCTTAGCATTCCAGTGAATCATCAATCAATAGACACATCGAGATAGACAAAATTTATCAACCGATAAGAAAAAAACCTTACATACAAAGGGTCAAAGTTCAAGTCAAAGAAACAATGAGTGACAATACAAGTAACCTAGAAGGTGTGAAAACACACAAAACAACCAATCACGTCCAAGGTCGACAGGAAAGATGATTAATAAACTCGTGGAGAAATCTAAAATCTCACTTCAAATTGAAGTATACGCTGAAGATGTTACCCAGTAGGGTGATGAAAGCTTCGCAAATTAACTATCCAGCTCAGAGAACACAACTAAATCAAAATCATTACAGGTTATTTTGAATATGCCTTGCATAGAACAATATTATTACCAATGGATTATTCGCTCGAAGAACTTACACATAATGAATTTTTTAACTATGTATAAATGCCTTTTTGGCTAAGTAATAAATCCAGTATTGTCATCAAAGAAAAGATGTCTTCATCAGAGAAGCATTAAGAGCAAGATTTGGATTTTCAACACAAATATGAAGTGACTTCGTCTGTATGAGACAGAAAGTTGCACTGAACGTCACGAAAAGCATTTGCGATAGATTACAGACTTTTATCGATAGCTGCTTCCGCTCCATGCCGAAGATAATATGGCCAGATAGGATGAGCAACTAAAACCAAGAGCTTACTATTCAATAAATATGTACTGGGAAAAGGAGATGCATTCGGCGCACACCGAGAAGACCGACGAATAACATCGCGCGCTATGCCACCCCTCATTTGAAATCCGAATAAGAAACGACGAGTGGGGCATCTGAGGGTGACATGAGGAAGACAATAGCAGGAGGAGATACGAGACTATGAGCAGTCGTGAGGTTAGCCATAGAGAACCACAGGAAATAGAAGGAAAGGTGTGGGGTGTCTCTGAAGTCCCATGTTCCACTTGAAATGAAAAATGATCAATAATGCTACTTTTCGTATTGTTTCAGTCATTCAATTACATCTTTCAATCATACTCTGTATACTTGGACCAACATTTAAATAAATTTCACCTACACTTCAATGGGTATTTTCGAAGGAAATTAGGTGTGAATGATTGCTACTTATTTTGAGCCTTTTACTACCGATTAATGTTTCACTTGAAGACTATTCACAAAAGCTGACTACTTGAGAATTCTTCTTCACGTATGAAGACTTGTTTTAAGATACTGCTGTTATTGTTACCAATGGAAAGATATTTTCATTTGTGACTTCGTCTTGTGGCGAAGTGCCGCTTTGTTCCCTGAAATCCCCTCACATACACGATGCATTTCAGAAGAAAAATAAAGACCGTATCATTAAGTGTGCAGAACAGAATTTATTCTCAAAACAATGTTAGCATAAATTACACATTATCCAATGAATGCTTGTTTTTAGTTAACACAAACACAAGTTTGTGTGACAGCTCCTTGGAGACGCTGAGTAGTAGCATATTTACTCCAGGTGGATATAATTGTTGCCCAATCGGGTTTCGGTGTCTTCTTTGGAGCAGATGGCTTTCGACTTGGTGTCACTGTTGGTTTCTTGGTGGTGGTGGTGGTGGTGACAGTTGGCTTTGGTGTTGTTCGAACTGGAGCCGGTGTTTTACCACATTCACTTCGTGGTTTTGTTTCGTAAGGCTTGTCGTTTCCCCAATTACCACTTCATTAGGAATACAAAAGAGAACAAAAGTGGAATGCATTTAGTATTATGTCTATACTCTGTTTTTTATAATATCGTGATTGATATTCAATAAGTCGTATCTTGAATTCCGTATCTTTTCATTTCGTTTGCGATCTTGGCATTTTTGCCAATCTCGTACATGGTGCGGACATTCCATGTCCCCACACACACTTTTTCTTTTGGCGCAAGGAGATTCGTCGTGCTGAAGTTTCTGTAGCAGCTTTGCTTTCGGGGTGGGATTGCTAGCCTCACGTCTGAGAAGGGGGGAGAGAAAAGGTTAGTGTTGCGTGACCGTGGAGCCCAGGGGACAACTGCTTGAGGCCGATCACACGTGGCCTGTTTTGTTTGTCTTTTTCTTGTTTGGTGTGTCTCAGTAGCATATTTATCACTTTTGCCCTGTGACACGGCAGCAGGAAGCGCGGTCGTTGTTAATCCGGGCCCCGACCGATCCGGCATGATATTTTGTGAGTTTGTTTGAATCATAGTATTGGATTGGGTAGCTGCTTTTTGTCTAACCGCTATCCAAACAACCTTTCTGGCATGGTAGGACCTACAGGAACATAAGTTCCAGCCAGTGTAGCTCGTTGGGTCATTGCGATATGCAAGCTCGACCACCACGTCAGGGTAGCAGCTATCGATCGGGGCAGGTGACTTCATAGAGAACATAGAGAAAACAGAGGTGACGAAGATTCCTGGATAAGAACAACAGCAACAAACAACGATCAGCATAAATAGGAGGAACATGAAAGAAACAACCTCTTTTACCTACCTGGGAAGCATCATCTCAACTACAAGCGGAACTGACGAGGATATCAAAGCAAGAATCGGAAAAGCAAGACAAGCTTCCACTACTATCAAGTCTGTGTGGAGGTCAACAACACTCAGCATCAAAAATAAGATCCGAATTGTCAACTTCAATGTGAAGTCAGTGCTACTATACGGATCAGAGACTTGGCCAGCGCGTCATAAAGAGCATCTCAAACAAACTACAGACCTTCATTAACAGTTGTCTTCGCTCAATACCACTCAAGATCAGATGGCCGGCCAGAAAAGATGAGCAACAAAGATATCTGGCAATGAGCGAACCAACCAGGAACCGATTGTGAAACAAATATGCAAAAAGAAGTGGAGATGGATTGGCCATACTCTGAGGAAACAAGTCATCAAGTGACATCACTAGACAAGCCATCGCTCGAGTGGAACCCAAAAGGGAAGCGATGAGTTGGTCATCCAGGTGTGACTTGGAGGAGGTGATGTGAAGAGGAGAGGAAAGCATGTGGGCAGACTTGGAGCCAGGTGAAGACTCTAGCAGAGAAGAGAAGGAAATGGAGACGCACGGCTGAAGCCCTATGTTCCTCTAGGAATTAAAGGAAACAATAATAATAATAAGACGTATCTTTAACGGAGTAACTTACCCTTCACCGTAATTACAAATGATAGATAATCCCAGATAACCTAAATATTGTGTACAATTTCTCAGACCACATCCAACGTGTGTAGTTTTCTGCCAGACCATCTGAAAAGAAAAACAAAGGAAGGGATTATTCATAAATTACAATTTGAATTTGCATTGTTGAAGAATTTAACGTGTTCTCCAAAGTTGTTCTTTGATGTAACCATCTCAGGAAATGTCTACATATCATATTGCGGTGAAGTGCTGTATTAAAATGTCAGGGGTACTGGACTCGATGCTGAGGTACTCTATTTCACATTGTTTCTACTCATCTGGTATTGCAGACCATTGTGCATCGGTGTTTCAATGGTTGAAACTGCCAATTACCGCCTCATTTTCTTCTAGTGTTCAACATCTGACTGCCGCACTTTTAAACTTCGCCTAATCCGTAGTAATCTTAGGAAAGACGAAAATTAGTCAAGAGTCTAGCAATCCAGCTCTGTTACAAAAACGATACCACTTTCACTGTAGTTTGCATAGCTAAAAACTATATGTTCCATTCGAATGCCCGGACACTCTAACAAGAAAGGATGACGAGTAGGGGGTAATGCATTCATCTGTCAGAGGGCGAAGTGGAGAAGTTCGTGTGAGAAGGAGATGAGAACTTACTGACAGTCGTGGAACCAGCTAATCAAGGATTGTTGAAGTCGCGTATCTCACTCAAAACTAATTATGAATATTGATAATAGATATGCATTTGAGTCAAAGATGCTTCTCTTAGTTGGGGTGTAGGTAACTGAAGACAAAATGACTCATTCCTCTTCAAAACCAACCAACCAACCAACCAACAAACAGACAAACATACAAAAATTTACAGCTTACCTGTGTATAATGTCCACACACATAACCACAGTACCCTGTATAATAATCGTAATGCTTATACTCATCGAACCATGCGTCTACACCTCTAAAATTAGAATAAATTTTAAAAAATAGCATATTTGTTTTCATGGCTTACTTTTCTATAGTCCAATAAATGGCTATATTTTGTCCAACACGTTCATATTGAGGCAATTTAACCTCGTCATGTTCGAATACACATCGGTCGGCTAATAGTTGTGCATAGTAGGCAAGATCATTATCCCATTGCTAAAAAAATAAATGAAGACGGAAAATGAGGAGATGGAAAATCACAGTTAAAAGAAAGAAGCAATGACACCAGAGACGAGAGGGGGAGGTGATGGCTTCGGTAGGCCAATAAACTCACAAGATCTGGAAGATATTTAGCCGGTGGTTGATTGTGCAATTCACAATTCATCACTCTATGCCGGTAATCATTGTGCATTTTAAGTATTTTCTGAAGTTCTGGACTTGATGGTTGTGAGTTGACACATTGTAGGCAGATGTAAAGTGATGAGAGGCAGAACAATAGTAAAAGGGACTGCATTGTTCCGACTATTATTAGTCTGCTATACGCTACTGGGGTTACAGATGAGCATTTATACTGTTAACGATTTGTTTCTTATACAACCTCCACCAATGAGATTGGAGTTGAGGAGTTTTCAGTTGAGGTTTCACACTTTGTATCATTTTGAAGAATACTTTTGTTTAAGTGTATTACTTGAATCATGTCAAGAACAAATGTGATGGCTATTCTCGTCTAAAACGTACTCATAATGACAAGAAGTGTCATCCAAATGACTCGTAGTAGCTGCTTCGTCATTAAGTTGATGATAGAGTTTTGTTCAAATATCTCAGTCTCATGTGATACACTTATTAGTGTTTTTATTATTTGATTGATACTTGCTGATTATGGCTTATTTCACACTGTAGGGTATTCAACACAACTCTTATTACTATTTTCAGTAGTACTATTAACACATTATTATTACTGATTACTTGGTTTGGAAACTCCTGTAACGATGGGATTGATTCCACTGAATGCCCATTTCTCCATTCTATTTTCAAGCGTATGACTGTGGCCAGTAAACTACGGAATCAGGCAACCAGATGAGATTTGCACTTCTAGGTGTGCTAAGATGAGGTTTGGTAAATTAGACAGTCGGTTGAATCCATGATATCACGGTGGATCAAACTGAGAACATGAAGGTAACACGACCAATTCATCGACCACACAGCCATTGGGACAAAGAAATGAGCAACAACGAAACGAACCAACCAGTAACCTCATACTGACTGATATGAGTATGAGCCATAAATTGTGCTTGAGACGTCATATAGTGATTAACACTGTATCACTATGAGTTATACCAAATAAACTTATCTAATATACAATTACATTTTACGACAATACTGAAGTTGTACACTTGTGCTGATATCCATTGATAGGAAGCGGCCGAAACTGAAATCAATGGCTGACTGTAGAGATAAAAGCGTTTATTCCTCAAATCTGAATTTATTTTACTTTATGAACATGAAATAACCTAAATTGGACACAACTTGTTTAACCCTAGGCGAATTGTCAACCACTCAGAATACGCTATTCTCCTCCTCTGAAATGGCAGAACCTTATTGTGACTATGACTATATAAGTGTGATGTGTTCTTCCCTAATTAAACGTCCGCTACCCAGTCTCTTATCTTATTCCGTTACATAATCACTCCGAGAACTTATTGCTCCAAAAATATTCAGACTAAAATGAATGTAGGTTCTACATACATTGATGAGACTGTTAATTATCATCACGCGCCTGCCATATCCTCAAGTGGGAGCGACAATATGAAGATGATGTGGAGGTGGTTTTATGAGTAAGAAATGAAAGCATCTGAGCATCAGGGTTCGGTACATCTGTGGTGAGAGCGGTCTACTAGCCAAGTGGTGGACAGTAATTGAGGTCAATGTTTATGTATCAAATATTAGTCATGTTGTGGTGAGAGATGGTTGCTGGCCAAATTGGTTGACAGTAATTGAGGTCAAAGGTCAAGGTGGACAGGCGGTTACAGTTAACATATAGATGAACTGACACAGCCACAGGAGATGCAAGGTTAACTTTGTACGAGAAACAACCAATCAACAGACTGTATTTTCTACTAACATTGACCTACAATAATGTACATAAAAATCTATAAATACGTGTTGATTTTTCGTAATAAACGATCTGTTGCCTGGCCCTTGTCTTCTGTTGTTACATTTGGTGTCGCTGCCTACCGACAAATGGAAAGCCTATGCCCTGCAGTTTTTGATGAAGACATATGGATCTTCGGGCAGGACTTTGAGGCTGATTCGCAGTTGAGTGGCGTTCAAGATCTGTCAGCGATAAGGCTGCTACTTGGGACGCTGCTGGGAGGTCGAGAGAAAGCAGCATATGGAAGTGTGAGGCGAAATACCTACGAATGTGCGACAGGGTCAGGCAAACAGTTTCCAAAGTGGGAAGGACCATATATGGTCACGTTGAGATGGGGCTACGCAGACACAATCGCAATGGTAAACACCGTTAAACAAGTGGACATCCGCAAGCGCCGAGATTCCAGACAGCAAGACAACAGAGCAAAGCCCCAAGAACCGAGAAGACCGAGCCGACTTCAGTCCAAACTATTTGACGGGGGGGACGAGTGTGGTGAGAGCGGTCTACTAGCCAAGTGGTGGACAGTAATTGAGGTCAATGTTTATGTATCAAATATTAGTCATGTTGTGGTGAGAGATGGTTGCTGGCCAAATTGGTTGACAGTAATTGAGGTCAAAGGTCAAGGTGGACAGGCGGTTACAGTTAACATATAGATGAACTGACACAGCCACAGGAGATGCAAGGTTAACTTTGTACGAGAAACAACCAATCAACAGACTGTATTTTCTACTAACATTGACCTACAATAATGTACATAAAAATCTATAAATACGTGTTGATTTTTCGTAATAAACGATCTGTTGCCTGGCCCTTGTCTTCTGTTGTTACACATCAGCTTGAGATGTGGTTAAAAGTGGTTATTTCTTTAGAATACACACAGTATTTCTCAATCGCCTTCTGCATAAGGATAGGGGAAAATTTGTTGTTCTGATTCCGCTGACTCGTGACTTGTCTTCTTAAAAGCCACGCTCGCAGAAAGCGGTTACCCTAACCGATTTATTGACAGCAACATGAAAGACAAACAGTCTAAACTGGTCACCGACTCAGTTCCAAAGAAAACCTTATTCATGAACTTGGAATTCAACGGTGATCAAGCTTCAGATATGCTCAAAAATCGTCACTCCAAATCAATCAGTAAGGCATTCTATGCAGCGAAATTACATATGACGTTCGCTAGCCGCAAGTTGTTCTCTACCTCTATAAAAGATAAGCTACCCCGTCTGGGCGCCTCCATGTGCATCTATCAGTTCACCTGCTCCTGTGGAGCAAGGTACATTGGCCGTAGTCAGAGGACGCTTTCCACACGGATACGAGAACATATTCCAGCTTGGTTTTATAAGGGTGAAACGAAGTGTGTGAGAAGCTCCATTCTGGAACACCTGATCGACTTCTGTCACTCTGTCAACCCTCACCATGATTTTAAGATCATATATAGAATCCATGCTTACTTCCCGCGTTTTCTTCGTTACAGACTTCTAAAGACAGCTGAGGCCTTGGCGATTCATGACTTTAAGCCAGACCTTTGTGTACAAAAGAAGAATGTACAATCTCTATTTCTGCCTTGGCCGTAGAGGGATAGACATTTATTTATTTTGTTTATTTAGTTATTCTATGTACTTTTCCCTTATTACTACGATTATTATTATTATCATTATTATTATTACTGTTCTCACTCTGAATCTTTTCCACTTGACCTACTTGACATTTTAAACCCAATATTATTAAATTTTATATTTTTAGTCTTACAATTTTGAATTCTATCTTATCTAATTTCACAACATGTTATGTAGCATTTTATATTCGTCTACTAATCTTATAATTATGTACCCCTATCCAAAAAATCTATACACCTTATGTATTATTGTATATATGATATTAATTATTTTGCCACATAACATTAAACTATGATTATAATCACAAATATTTTAATTGCATTTCATACTACTACTATTATTATTTCATGCATTCACACCTTTGACGTAATTCCCTCACCGGATATAGTTTTTTTTAAAACCATATATATATGATTGTACAGCTTGATAATAAATTCGTTGAAAAGAGTCTCTTCGCTGAATATTGTGTTCTTTCTGCATATTTCTTACACAATAGGTTTTGAGCTGGTTCGCCACCACACTTCCATTTCACTTATCTTTTCTGGCTGGCTTTTCCAACAGATTAGAAGCATTTATCACTAGATTCTTCCGATGGCGTCATAATGAAGATCAAATGGCTGGCCGGAAAGAATCACCAACACGAAACTCTGGCTGAAAACAAACCAAACAGGAGTCGAATGCTCAACAAATGTATAGGAGAAAATGGCGATAGATTGGGCACACACTGAGCTTACCATGTGCCAGACCATCCCTCAAATGGAATCCCAATGGAAAACAACGAGTGCGTCGTCGATGAAAGAGTGACATGGAGGAGATCAGATGAGCTGAAGAAGGAAATATGAAACTACTGGCAATCATGGAGCCAGCTAAAGAGGAATTCAGGAAATAGAACAAAGTGTGGATGCGTTATTGAAGCTGTATGTTCCACCCCGAACCCCACGAAATAATAATAATAATAATGTAATATATTCAACAAGTACATTGTAGGGGTTTAATTTGTGTCAGAAATGCTAACGTATTTATCTCAGCTAGAGAGCCAATAAAAACTAGGGTATTATGACCATTGGAGTGCATTAAGTCGGCTGTGAGAACATATACTTGCCAACGACACTGAGTGATGCTAGTAGCACTAAAATCACGAATTGGTAGAAGTTAGAATTCATGCGTTGTCCATTGGATCCGGTGCCGCTTGGTGAATGGTCTACAAATTCCCCTTGTTACTCGTAGTTGATGGGTTTGAACGCTGGCAGCGGGTGCGTAATGCTGAAGGATTCAAATCTAGGATGAAAATGCTGGCTATCCAGTATCCCCTGCTAATATTCAATGGTTCTCTAATTGATAAAAGCGCCTGTGAGTCTAACACACAGTTATTGGAAATCTGAAGTTCAACTAAGGGACCTCCGTCGAGCTAAATTTAAGATGTGTCGCAAACATAGTGACTGACACAAAGATGAAATTTGTCGGCTTAAGAACAAATAATCAATCGCTCAGTTAAATGAAATAATAAATCTAGAATCTGTAGCGGTTAGCAATCAGAGTCAGTAGATTCCGTCGTAGCCTCGTGAAAATTAACGTGTTTGCCTGGGAAATTCAAGTCCTAGGTTTGATTCTCAGTGGGTTTATAAGTGTCTACTGATAAGTATTTAAAACAAGGAGTAAGCAGCTCTCTGGCGCATCCTAATTTTCACTGGTTCTTCAATTAATGTTGTTTCATTATGAAATCTCACATTAAAATTATAGAAATCACCGAACATCATGCGATGGCTTTGAGGTAAAATAATT